AAAGCCTCGGCGTCGGCGTCGGCTGAGCAACTATATCGCGCCCGTCAGCAACGTCTCCCTACCACAACAGCTCAGCAGTAACACTGTACGTACGTCTCTCGAGCTCGAACTCGAGCTTCGTGATCGGCGTGATCGGCCGGACGAGCTCGCTGTGCGACTTGGACTTCTCCCGCCTCTTCGACGGCGACACGTCGATCTCCAGACTCGGCGGCCTGCGCTTCGTCTCCGGCGAGCGCGTCACCACCGTCGCCCGCCTCCTCCGCGACGGCGTCTCGGGCACAGCCAGCGCAACCGCACCGCCGCCCCTCGACGCGCCCTCATGCTCAGCAGCGCACGACCGCGAGCGGTCCCGCTCGCTTCCGTGCTCGACACGGCTCGGCATCTCCGACGGGATCGTCGGCAGACTGTGGTCCGCGAAGTTCATCGTGTTCAAGAACGACGGGCTGGGGAGGGGCGACGCGGGCGAGGACGTCGACGCGGAGAGCACGCTGCGGTCGAACACGCCCGACTCGTACTCGTTCACGAAGATCTGGTTCGCGGGCAGGATCTTGCGCGGCACGCGGTTCGCGCGCGCGGAGCGGTTGCACGACGACGAGCGGCGCGAGATGGGCGCGACGGGGAGCGGCGGGAGCGGCCCGGACGTCGTGGAGGCCGCGAAGTTCTGGCGCGCCTCGTCGACGACCTCTGTATGCGCAGTGTGGTGAGCTACGCGTACATGCGAAGGCTAGTGGGTACTCACTCTCGACGCTCTGGATCCAGAGTGTCATCCGGTCCATCTTCTTCTCTTCCGCAAGCTGCTCCTCGGCTAGACGAAGCATCTATTAGCGAACGCCCTTACAACCTTCCAGCGGAACATCTCGACTCACTCTTCGGAGGGAGCACCTCGTCCTCCCAGGACGCGCGCGGGCTCAAGCTCATCCGCGACTCCTCCTCATCCACGTTGTCCGAGCCGAGCGTCAGCGCAGGCGTCGACCGTCCGAGAAGCTGCGTCGAGGACTTGTAGAGGCGCACCGCGCCACCTGCACCGTCGCGCGCAAGTCAGTCACCGTAAACGCACACAGCAGAGGAGATGAGATGCGTACCGAGCGAGAGACGGAAGCTCTGCTTGAGCGCGCTGAACCCCGTCTCGTGCGCGGAGTCGTCGGGGAGCGCGTCAGTCGGAGACTCGACTGGCTGGGAAGGTTCTGCATCACGGTCCAGACGATGTCAGTCTCACATTTGGTGCAGTATGTCAGAGGAGAGCTCGTACCTTCGAACAGCGGGCTGAGCGGCGTCGCCGGGTGCACGCTAGCGGTGGGCGACAACGGCGGGCCGACGCTGATCTTGGGGAGGAAGTACTCCCGCTCGCGTTCGCGTTCGCGCTCAGGCTGCGGGGACACCTCCCTCTTCCTATCCTGCTCGCTCTTCCGCTCCACCTCCCGCACTCCCGCGGGATCCCTCCCTTGCTCGCTCTCGCGCTCAGACTCGTTCTCAGTCTCGGTCTCGGTCTCCTCGACCTCCCGCATCCTCAGCCTCTCCATCTCCCTCAACCGCTCCCTCTCCCGCTCCCACTCCTTCATCCGGCTCCGCACCGAGTCCTTGCTCGTGTCCGCCCCCGACACCGAAGGCGCCTTACTCTCCACGCTCGCGTCCGCGCCCGCGCCCCGCACCTCCCGCGCGCTCCGCTCACTCTTCAGCGTCTTCGACTCCGCGCGCCTCACCCCGCCCCCCGCGCGCGACACGTTCTCGTCGTGCTTCCGGGCAGAGGTGACATCGCGCAGGATCTGGCTGCTGCGCCTCTTCTCGTGCTGCTGCTGCGCAGACGCGGGGCTCTCCCGGCAGATGTTCTCCTTCGACGCGTTCGGCGACGACGGCCCACGGGGCCCGAGCGGCCTCCGCGTCGTCCTGGCCGCGGGCTTCGACGACGCCGCGACGGCCGCCTTCGCAGGCCTGTTCTCCCCCGCCTCCCCAAACGGCGAGACGAAGAGCGACGGGGTCGGCGGCGGGGCGGGCGGGTCGTGCTTGAGCGGGGAGAACGCGGCGAACACGCTCGGGACGACGCCCGTCTGGCGCCGCGTCTGGTTCACGCCTCGGCTGGCGGGAGCGGACGCACCGTCGAGAACCTGCAGCTTGGGCTGGGAATACGAGCGCGCATGCCCGCGCGTCGTCTCGGCCGCGTCTTTCTCCTTGTCCGCCGCGAATACTTTGCCTGCAGCGGGCGGCCGCGGCGCGTTCTCCTTGCCCGCGAGCGTCGCGAACTTCACGCGTTCCCTGTCCTTCGGCTGCTTGTCTTTGTTTTCTTTATCCTTGTTTTCTTTGTGCTTGTTCTCTTTGGCGGCGATGCGCTCCTTCTCCTTCTCCCTCTCTTTCTCCGCCTTGGCGGCGCGCTCTTTGTCCTTGTTCGCGCGGGAGGACCACGGCGGGATGACGTCGAGGAGCTTGGACATCTCCCTGTCCAGAATGAGGGACGAGGTGCGCGAGTGCGACACGCTCGCCGACTTGCCTGCACACCCGCAAGAACACATCCGCGTCAGAACACGAACAACAACACCGACTACAAGACGCTTCGAGGGACTCACGATGATGCGCCTTCGCCGCCGGCTCCTTCTCGCCCTCATTACTCGTCCAATACGCGTCCCGCATCGCCTCCTCCGCCGTACACCTCAGATCCGCGTTCGGAAGCACCATCCGCCGCAACAGCTTCTCCGCACCGCGGCTCATGGCCCAGGTGCCGACCCACTTGCCGCGGAGCGTGCGCGCCCAGTAGCGCTCGAGGTCGTCCTTGGTCGCGAACGTCTCCGCGCCGTCGGCGGCCTCGAACGGCGTGCGGCCGACGAGGATCTCGAAGAAGGTCACGCCGAGCGACCAGACGTCGGACTTGCGCGTGTCGTGCGGGAGCCCGCGCGCGCGCTCGGGGGAGAGGTACTGCGGGGCGTGGTCAGTGGGGGTGAGTGTGAGGGTGAGGGTGAGTGAGGACTGACCTCGGGGGTGCCGTAGGAGAGGTTGCTGTGGAACGCGTCGGGCTTGTCGAGGTCGTATCGCTCTGCGAAGCCAAAGTCGACCAGCACCGGCACGTTCTCGTTCGACAGCAGAATGTTTGCGGGCCTGTTTGTGTTTCGGTCAGTACGTGGCACGCGCTGAGGGACGGACGGGCACGCACTTGATGTCGTTGTGGACGACGCCGCGCTTGTGGAGGAACTCGACGCCGGAGAGGAGGGAGCGGAACCATTCCTTGGCGTGGGGCTCGGAGACCTCGACGGTGATGAGGCGGGGGTGATATGCCCTGTCGGTTGCGAGACGATCAATGCGAGAAGGTCAGAATCTGAGCACGCGAAGCTAATAGAGCGAGACTGACATGGTGATGAGTGCGTATGAGGGCGTGATGATGAAGGAATAGAAGGGGATGATGGACGGATGCGGTTCATGCTTGAGGGAGCGGACGACTTTCATCTCGTTCCATCTGCGCATATGAACACGATTCAGCCCTGCTCGAGAAGAGCACTACGAAGCGGTCTGGTGCAGACGTACAGCGATCGGACTCGTGCGGCGGTGGTGGAGGTCTTTGACCTGTGCACGAGCTTGACGGCGATCTTGTTCTCGCGGACGGGGTCCTGTGAGGAGCTGGAGGGCTTTGGGCGGCAGAGCCATACGCTACCCCAGTTGCCAAAGCCAATCTACGTGCGCACACATTCAGTCTCTCTGCCGTATCGTGAGGGTAGCGCACAGAACGCGGAGAAGTACTGACTTCCTCGATGAACTGGAGCCTGTCTGCGAGGACCTGGTCTGAGATGGAGAAGATGTCCGTGGCCTCCTGTGGGGGCTGCGGTGGGGGAAGCATGGTGGGTGCGAAACACAGTAGTGGTAGTAGATGTACAGCAGGAAAGCGACGAAACAGATATGCGAGAGAGAAGCGGAAGAGGGATGGATGGCCTCTTGAGGGCGCGAGGGGGAAGTCGGACTCAGAGGAGGAGGGACATGAACTCAACCGTCGACTGTCGGACACAAGGGCAGGCGAGCGAGTCGAACATGGCCGTGAGAAGCCATCGCTCGCCTAGCCCTTCCCATCAATTCCAGTCGCGTCGACGCGTCGCGCCAGTCTCTCCTCACCGTCACGCCACCGCGTCGCCCCTTGCCTCTTCCAGCTCAAGTATCCCTCCATATCCGACACATCCTCCTCCTCACCATCGCGCTGCATAAGCCACGCAGACTTTGCGCACCGAGACCTCTCTCATCCTCTGCGCTAGCTTGACAGCACGCGTCGGACGTGGATCTGCAGCTGGCGTCGACGTACGTCCATGCGTCTGTCAGAATGCTAACGGCCCCGAACGGTCCTCCCTCCGAACATTCCTCCCCATCCGTCTTGCCTCCGGGCATCATCTGGGCTCGGGCGGCTCTGAAACCCCATGCTACGCATGGCCTAGACGTCCGTGGTCATGCTGCGTCCCGCAAGAGGATTCTGTCTGAAACAGAGCATCGTGGGTAGCTGGTGGTTGGCTAGGGATCGACCCCTCGACTCCGGATCCCGCGACTGGTACACATTCTGCTCAAGTCTCGGTTTCCCAAGCACCATTTGAATACCAGGGTGAGTGGGTACTGTACTAGGTATTGGCCAACCCTTATACCAGGGGCAACATAGAAGAATCGAAACGACCGGACTCTGAGCAGTGAGCAGTACAGTCTAAAGGCACCTTGTCTCTGAATCTGCACTCGCTTCGGAGAGCTACTTGCTGCTCTTGCACTACCAATGCTTCGGAGCTCCCGGTCTCTGGCTGCGCATTTCCCTTCTGTTGTCACTCCAGTTCTCCACCTATGGAGTCGAGATGAAGCAAGCTGGTACTCACGATCGCAGATACTCCTGAGGCGAGCATGGCATGGTGCCCAACGGCCCCAACCTCGGGCACCGGAAGTCACAAAACAAAGTGTTTAGCACACGACTCACAGTATGTACTACATACTTACAGTATGATGATCCCGACACAACAGATGGTCCCAACTGGGTCGACATGAGGAAAAAATCAACTAGCCCACCGCGGGGGTCGAACCCGCAGCCTTGAGATTGCACGTATCAACGCGAGCCCGCGCGACCGTAAAAGTCTCACGCTCTATCCGATTGAGCTAGGCGGGCTTGCTATGAATGGTACCGGCAGCTATATGTCCACGTCGTCAAGTGGCCATCAAGGGGAGAAAATGAAGAAAAACGTCATTGGCAGGGGCAGAGACCGAAGCCGTCCGAGTCTCCGTGAGCGAATCACAGTCGAACCTCCCCCGCCCATTTCCCTCCTCCTCCTCCTCCTCCTCCTCCTCCTCCTCTCTCATCCTCATCAACGCACTCGACACCACCCCTCTCGTCTTCTTCACTGTTTGACGCGATGGCCTCCCGTGCTTTCTCCCGCCGCCTCTTTGCCTCCGCCCTCCGTGCTCCTGCCACCGCGGCCCGCCCCGCCGCAGGCAGACGCCTTGCCAGCACAGGCGTCGAGCACGGCGCGAAGCAGAGCAGCGACATGCCCTGGATGGTCCGTCTCTCTCTCTCGCCGTCTCCTGCGAATGTGGGCACTGAACGGCTTCATGTCCGCAGATTGGCTCCGCGCTCGTGTTCGGACCTATCGTGAGTCTCCTAGTACCGCGCGATGACGTCGCACGAGACCTGTCCCGCTCACCATGCGTTCCCGCGTCGTGCGTGCGCGTAGGCTGTCTACCTCCTCTCGACGCAAGGAAAGGACAAGGGCAAGCACTCCGCCGACGCCCACCACGCTCGCGCCGCCAAGGCCCACGCGCCCACCGAGGAGCCCGCCCAGAAGGAGGAGCAACCCGCACCCGAGCCCGAGCCCGCACAGGTACGCCGTGCCGCCCCGCTCTCTTGCACGCATCCCGACCTACATCTCTTGCTCTGTATAGGAGGAAGCCCCAAAGGACGAGCAGCCCGCTGAGCAGGCGGTGAGTTGTCCAGCTCGGTCTCGGCCCTCGTAGCCCTCACCTCTGACGTCTTGCCGTGCGCGCTCCCGCGCCTCCGTCTCGCCCCGTTCGCATCACGCAGGACTCCTCGTCCGACGACAAGCTCCACGGCGCGCAGCCCATGACCGACTCCGAGGGGACGACCGCTTCCGCGGAGGAGATCGACGCGTCCATGAAGCAGGCGTTCGTGCGTATCCATCTCCTCGCGTGATCATGGGAGCGTAATGAGCTAACTAACGCGGGCACGGTCGGTTGGTTGGACGGAGCAGAAGTCGAACATCCCCGAGGACGCACAGCGCGCGGAGGAGAACGACAAGAAGTTCGCGGAGGGCGCGCCCGGCCAGACGGCCGAGGCGGAGACGAAGCCCGACCAGAAGGAAATGCCCGGCCACCACCACGCCGGCACGCTCCAGAGCGACAGCGACGACGGCCCGACGAACATGGGCGACGCCCGCGAGAAGGCGACGGTGAGTGTCGGCCGTCTGTATATGTGGTATGTTCGCGGATGGCTTACGGGCACGATGCGTGTGCATAGTCCAAGGAGGCGCCGAAGCAGGCGGCGCAGGACTCCGATTAAGTGTGGACATGCCGTGGACGATGTGCATGTATCTAACTGCCTTATTAAAATGGACCTTGATTTATGCTTGCTATCACACGAGCCCTTCCAACATCGTACAACAAAATGACGCCGAGATGCAACGGGGTTGTGTACGGAGATGCAGACGAGAAAGCCTCACCGTTTGTCCCACGCACACACAGAGAGTAGGTCATTCAGAACATCAATCTCGTTACGCATCACCGAGCCTATATCGTTATGTTACAGGTGACTCTAGGGCTAGCTAACCATCACATCTTCCACAGATACGAACAGCAGAATGCAGCAAGGCTTATGCCTGCGCGGCGAGCAGCGCGTGCACCTCCGGCTTCACGCTAGCTAGCGAACAGATCCGCAGTCGTGTACTTTGGCTTCCACCCGAGCGACCGCGCCTGCTCTCCGCGACCCCGAGCGTTCGAGCCGAGCGCCAGGTGCGCCAAGAACTACACCACACCACACCCGCACAGATCCTCGTCAGCCCACCGTCCTCGCCGTGCACAAAACAAAAAAGGCGAGAGACGCACCGTGTTGCCGATGAACCGGTCGATGTCCTCCTGCGTGAACGGCACGGGCTCCGAGTTCGCGGCCGTCGCGAGCCCGAGCTCGACGAGCGCCGCCGCGAGCGCGGCGCTGAGGTCGTACCACGTGTGCTCCCCGTTCTCGATGATGTAGAAGCCCGCGCGGCCGTGCGGGACCGCCTCGGCGTCGCGCAGGAGCGCGTCGACGAGCGTGATGTACGAGTCGGCGACTGGCGCGGAGGAGCACGTCAGTCTCGGGCGCGCAAACATGCATAGGGGGGCGGGCTCACCGTCGTCGACGTGGACGTGGTTCCAGACGGACTTGCCCGCGCCGACCATGCCCGCGCCGCGCCCGCGCGCGAGGGAGGCCTTGATGAGGAGCGGGAGCTGGATCGAGCGGGGGTTCGCGAGGCCGCGCTGGAAGAGCGGGCCCGCGCCCTGGCCGAAGATCAGCGACGGGCTCAGGATGAGCGCGCGCAGGTATCCTGTCGAGGAGGCGTCCGGTCAGCCACCTCCCGTTCGAGCCCCAGGAAGAGAGAGAGAGAGAGAGAGAGAGAGAGAGAGAGAGAGAGAGAGAGAGATGGGGCGCACCTTCGCGGTCGCCGGCGATGACGGCGAGGTCGACGTTGCGGTGGAACGCGGTGTCGGGGAGGGCCTCGATCTCTTCGGGGATGGAGTCGTGGTACACCTTGTCCGACGCGTACATGCCGCGCGCGTCGTCCGTGAGGAAGCCGGTGCCGGACTGCAGAAGCAAGGACGGTGAGGTGAGTGTCCCCGGGCCGAGATGCAGACGCACTGACGGTGTGGATGAGAGTGGGCTTGGTGCCGGTCTTGTGGTACCTCGCTTTCAGACCCTGCATGATCGCGCCCGCGGCCTTGATGTCGTCCGAATCCGCCTGGAAACGCACGTACAATCAGCCACCGCGCCGATCCCAGCCTCACCGTCCACAATAACCGACTCACGATGTTCAGCACGATATCCGCGCCCTCAGCGAGCTGCGTGAGCTTCTCCAGCTCGGCGTTGCTCCCCACGACCGCGCGCACGCCGTACTCCTCCGCGAGGATCCGCGCCTTCTCCGGCGAGCGCACGAGCGCGGTGAGCTCGAAGCGGGCGGCGTTCGGGTGCTGCAGGAGCCGCTGCAGGACGGTTGCGCCGATGTAGCCTGGTGTGGGGGAGGTGAGGATGAGGCTCGTGCGCGCGGAGCCGGTAAGTTGGGCGTCGAGTGGGCGGACTTACCGGTGGCGCCGGTGAGGAAGATGGTGGTCTTGGCGGCGGACATTGTGAGATGGATGTTTGGACTGCTGGGATGGACTTGTATGCGTTGGATGGTTGAGGGATGAATACTATGAAGCTGGGTGCAGGATGAGCACTTCGAGGAAGCCTCGAGCCTCTTTTATACATCTACCACTCCCAATGACGACGGACGCATAATCTGCGTTCTCCCCTAAGGGCTGCCAATGGCGTAGTATTACCACCACAAGAACGAGCGACGGTGTACTCAGCAATTGCTTAGCACGGCAGTGGCGGCGATCGACTCAGTGTACTATCGCCGTACCACCGCGCGAGCACTGACTAATCAGGAGGAACGCTGTAGGAGTCTTGGTGAGAGATAGCCAGTGCTTGCGGCTGTCTATTCTGCACTTTACTTGATCGTGTCCCAGCAATCAGAGGTCTGGAGTGCGATTAGACTGAGGAATAGGAGCTGAGTGCTCTCAACTACTCACCGCGCGGTTAGCAGCTTCTACTATCCCCATATGGACTGCCGCCGTTCATCTGTCCGTGAATAACGGATGACATATCAGTAGCCCCATGCGGAACCTGTTGTGTATCGTTGCAAGCACTGCGATATACATTTACAGTACGTGCTCGCGAGTAAGTAATAGCAAGTCAGAAGGAGCATCGCAGGCTCGAAGTCAGGCTCAGGCACTCAGGTGTTTCTCAAACCAACCCACGACCTGCTTCACCGCGTCATCCCTCGCCTTTCTCTGCACCGGATTCGCGAGGTTCGCCCTGGTCGTCCACCCATGGTGCACGCCCTCATACACCACGACCTCCACGTCCGCTAGTCCCCTCTCCTTCAAAATCTTCTCCGTCTCCTCTGCGCGCTTCCGGTTGAAGTCTGGATCATCCGCCGCGACCGCGAGGCTGAATGGCTTCTTCACACCGTCGAGTTCCGCGGGGAACTTGACGAGGGATGGGTGCGCCGCGACCGTCGCGTCGAACAGATGATTCTGCGAGATCGCGAAGCGGCCACCCCAGCAGAACCCGACGAAGCCGACGTTCGGAGTGCCGCCGTTGGGTGCTGGGGTGCGCAGGGCGGAGGCGACGGCGGAGATGGTGGAGATCTGCCGTGGGAGGTTGCGCAGAGCCCAGGGAACGAGGACGAAAAGCGAGATCGGCGCGAGGACATAGCGCGTGAAGAGTGACTTGCTCTCGTTCGAGGGGTCTTTCGCGTTCAACGTCCATGTAGGGAGCTCCCAGCCTGCAAGCCCGAATTGTCGCGCGTCAGCATGGAGTGGCGGGTGATTGAACGATGGCAGTGCAGTCGTACGAAACTCACCATCGAACAAGTCTGGCATGACAACTTTGAAGCCATACGAAGCATACTCGTCCGCGAGGAGGCGGGCGTTGATGAACCGCCAGCCAAAGATATCGCAACCAATGACGATGATGCGTTGCGAGTCAGCATTGCCCACCACGTACGCATCGATGCCGCCTATCTTCGTTTCCGTGCCCTTCGGGGTACCCGAATGTACGCTACCGCTGACACAGTCTGGACAGGACATTGTGTCGGAGGTTTAGGTTGATTAGGTTGAAGGCTTATGGACACAGGGAGCCTCTTGAACAGCGTTCTGGAGAGTACTAGAGTAGTGTTGGGGAAAGGGCCTCGCGACCCTTCATCCTGCAGGGTTTGCCTTTATGCATGCCCCGCCAAGGCCGCGTAACTCGCTGCCCGAACTTCGGCCCCGATGTGCAGCTCAACCTACCTTCCAGCCTCACCGGTATGTCTCCCGGTTATGCATGGGGGACATCTAAAGTCATCCCTGGGATAACACATG